TAACTTTTTTGCATCGGCTGTTCAAAAACTCTTGTGTGTAAAGTTTTCTATGTAAAGTTCTCTTTTTACTATGAAACGTATGACATTTTTAATTTTTGAAGGGGTGACAGTTTTGGAATTGGAAGATCGGCAAATATCTATATGTGCAACATTGAGTTGTCCCCCCCATACCCCTAGATATTAATAAATCATATTAATAATAAGCACAGATTATACTTGTATAGTGCAGGACACCTAGTCCCTACAACTTTTATTGGTCTTGCAGATCCTTTAATGACTCCAAAAATGGAAATGTAACATCAAAAAAAAAAGATGTCATTTTGAAGCTAAGACCTTTCTCTACAAAATGACATTTTCATTTTGTTGATATGTTATGTAGTTGTGGAGGAATTAAGCCTTAAAGTTGCACAAGTTTAACAAATTTACTATGTTAACCCCCCAAAATGACGTGTTACACGCAAATTTTTTATGTTAAAAATGAACGAATTGGAAGAATTGAAAATTTTAAAATTTGTATTGCAGATCATCATCACGTGATATTAAGAAGAGAATGCAACGGTGACATATTAATATTAATATGGTGTATATAACAAACCTCAGTTTTTACAATGTATAATCTATATTTATTATATTTATTAAACAAAAAATAAATGAAGATTTTATCAATAATTATTTAATAGCTATATATAGGCAGGTTGATTAAAGCAAGTGTTAAAGATTACTCAAGTAATAATAATAACTATTAATGAAACTTAGTATTAATCTCAAAGTGTCAGTTTTGAATTGGGGAATTACTTGTTTTAAAACTAGTTTAGTAAGAGTTTCCATTTTAGTTATGTTCTATTTTTATTCATTTTTTTCTCTTTCAAAAAACACATCGCATTTTTATTATTCAAAAATCATTTTGGGATTGTCAAAAACGAACAAGAATGTATATATTATTTTTTTTGGATTGCATGGCCACACTATGCAAGGCAAGTATTACTAAAAGTTCAGTAAAGTAAAGTGGGTGGAACTTATTACTGGCTGTTCGGATCGTCCTATTATACGACTGTACTGAGTTCAGGCCAATGTGTTAGTTCATAGTCATTGAAAGTCCAGTGAATTATTATTTTTTTCGAAAATTAATAAAGTGGGTGGAACTTTTTACTGGCTGCCCTTCTTTGGAGGAGTGACCCCACTTAAGATGGCTCATGTGTTGGCTTATGCCTGTTTTACTCAAGGTAGCTTTGCTTAGTCAATTATTTGGCTAATGAAAAAATCTTTTTTTCATTTTCTTATTTTTAGATGCTTTCACCACAACAAAAAAGAAAAATTCAATATGCAATAAGGCAAGTCTTCTTTACTTAAAGTGGGGTAATCTGTGTTTACCGGCTGTGCCCATGTGATGATATTGATATTGAAAAAAAGAGGTAATTGATTCTACTTTACAAATTGAAAGATAATGGTGATGAAAAGAGGTGATTGATGGTCGCGTAACAGTTCTATCATATTTATTTTATTCTTTATGCATAATATTCTTCATTGATTCATTGACGATCTTCAAAAACACATGACAATGAAATTTTAAAAAGTTCAGCAACTAGGTAAATTACGAGTTGTGGTCTTTTAGGTATTATTTCTGTTTTTATGATATTAATCTCACCATCCTCATTCTCTTCTTCATCCTCTTTATCATCATCTTCTCCATCTCCATCCTCATCATAATCTTTATCTCCATCATCACCATAATCCTCCACTTGGATATACTTGATGTTTTTAATTGTTTCATCAACTATATAATATTTATATATTAATACATACATATATATATATCATTCATTATATATAAATAATTAATATTTTAATATTACCTCTCTCCCCATTTATTTTCATTTATTCCGGTAATAATTCATTATTTCAAATGTATGAAGCTTCCAAAGAACATTCATCAATTATTCAATAGTTGTAAAGATTATGAAGCTTCCAAAACAAGTGTATGTATATATTCAAATAATAAAATAATTTGGGGATATATTTTATAATATATATATTCTGCATGACATTAATAAACCGGTTTTTTTTATATATCTAATTTTAACCATATCCTTTTATATATTAATATGTATTATCTGAAATGGATATCTGGGTCAATTACTGTAATGAAATTCTTACATCATTAATGATAAAATAAAAATAAATTGGTTTAATAAATTCAATAAAATCCTCTTAAATCAGCTTATTGATAAATTTTAATATGTAGATGATAAAAAAACATATTATTGATTCCGTAAAACAACAACAAAGATGATAACAATGATAATAATAGCAGCAAAATAATGATTTTAAAAATAAACAAATTAGAAGAATTGAAAATTTTATTTTAAAGTAAGTTATATACATAAATAAATAAACAAAATAGAGATAATAAAAATAAATAGCTAATCAATTAATTAATTCATAATTGATTGAAGATCATGTAATATACTAGTAGGAATTCTTCTATGAGAGCGGTATTTCTTTACAGCATATTCTACAGCATTCATAGATAATCCTTGTCTGTATGCATCCATGTACCTGAAGGATCTGCGTGCAAATTTTCTGATAGTAGAAAGAGGGACGGATTTTAAGGCCAAAGGTACTGTAGTTAATAATCCATTCCATGTATAATCACAATTTTCTCTTGTGAATCTTTTTGTTGCTCCCCAGTACATCTCAATAAAGTTGAATTCGCAATGGAATTTAGGATAGAAAATCACCATATGTCCCCTTTTTTCAATTTCTTCTTGAATTATTCCTTTTTGCGCTTTGAAATCTGGCTGCAACTCCAGAATTTTCAAACCACAACAGTCTACTTTTTCATTTTGCTCTCTTGATGGTTTGGTTTTACATTCGGAACATACCCTTCTCAATCCTTCCTTAAATAATCCCCTTTCCATCAATATTGTTTTCATCCCCTTCTGTATTCCGTTGGGATAAACCATCTTTTGTTCAGCACCATTGAATGCAGTATCTCTCATCTTTGGTTGACTTCCACCATCATTCCAATTCATTTTAGATGCAACTAAAGCATCATTGGCAAAAGCAGCATGTGAGGTTGCATTATCAAATGCAAACAGGGCTATGCAATCTTGATGAGTGGCTTCAAATATTGGTATTGCTTTATCAATTACTTGATTTTTTAATTTCTCTGTTGTCCACCACCCATCATAATTTGATCCTGTTATAAGAAATTCACAGCTTTTTTTAGGTAAGTATGGATATTGAATTTGCTCTTCTTCATTGAGATGTAAAGGGCCTATGGTTTCTGTTAAAAATTTGCTGACATGATATGCTCTACCTTTACCTTTTTTTTTTAAAGGCTGCTCACACCCCAACATCCAACCATTACTATTACCTTCATTTGAGTAAAAGACAGATTCATCATGTGTTACTAAAATCCTCATCTTTTTACCATCTTCTAAGATAGGATCAGTTCTATTCTCCAAATTATCTCCCTCAAATACTGGGGCGTAGGCTTCATATTCCTCTTTCATAAATTTTAAAAATTTATTTCTGTATTCCACAACATCTGGTCTTTCATGACCATCATTATACAACCCTTTTTTGTAAGTACCAAATTTCCAACCCAATCCTTTGAGCCATCTTCTTGCAGTTTTTTCGGATATTCTTTTATTTTCATTTTCCACTCCTATATCAGGCAATAATGTATCATTGACATGCTCACACAATTTTTTAGGTGTTATATCAAGTTTATTGGATCTTATATAACTTCCTATTTGTGCAGCAATATCTTCATGTTTCCACAAGCTTTTTGTCTTAGGATATTTTCCTCTATTTGAGGTAGGTATAGTTTTATTTTGGATCCATTGATTGGCCCAAGCTCTAATACATCTACTTTTATAATTTTTTGTCCACCCTAGAGATACTGCCACTATTTCGCTTGCTTCAATCTTTTTTTCACCATTACTTAAGTGTCTGAAATACATTCCAATCGCCATTAATTTAGACTTTAGTTCATTGGCTAAATTAGGGGATTCAAGAGCTTGTTCAACTGAATTTATCGCATTTTCCCAACCATATTCAGGATCACCATCATCTGACAATTCATCAGGTTGATCTTCTCCACTGGAAGCTTTGACATTAAAAAAATCAGTAATTTTAGAAGATCCAACAGCAGCATCTTTCAAAGCTTTGGCATGTCGTTGTTGTGTTCTTATTGAATTTTTCAAAAAAGACTTGTTTTTTACTGAAGTAGTTTGCTTCTCCACTCCCCACTGTTCACTTATAAGAGCAACATGATTATCTTTATTCATTCTCAAATCATCCCATGGTTCATTGTTATCGGAAGAACTCCATTCAGGTTCAGATTCAACTTCAGACTCAGATTCAATTAAGTTTATTTCCACATCATCATTGGTATTTAAGTTTGTATCTGAAGCAATGTCTGTATTCATTAAATTATTTTGTACACGATTTCTTTCTCTAGCTTGGACCATTCTTTTAATTTGGACTTTTCTACTGTCAGGTCTACCCATTTTTAAAGTAATTTATGTGTTTTTATATTAATCGGGAAAAAAAATATATGCTTGGTAAGAAATGTTTATTAGTTTTTAATTTTTAAATTTTGAATTTTTATTTTATTAGTATAGCATGGTAAAACACCTTGTATTTATATTGATTTAATCGCTTCTTTAGATCCCAATTCAGTGAATTTAGATTATAAAATATGAAGCATTGAAATGGATGATAAAAATCGGGTTTACATTTGATTTTGGAATCTTGGTTTGGTTGGATCTCTAAACAAACAAATTATCATTGTTTTACTTTATGGTCTTAGTTACATCAATTGGATTGTTGAAAGTTATAATCAACTAAATTGTTCAGATGGATTTCGGCCGCGACTTATAAATAAATATTATTACCAAAAAGGGAATGATAATCCAATCATGTATATTTGAATTATAAGACTTAGATTTTAGTTTTAAAACGTTTTATGAGACATCTGCTAACTCTTATATGAAGAGAAACAAAAACAATCATATGGGGTGTATATTATATTCATTTGTGAGTATTTCAAATAATAAAAAAGAGAATAGAGTTATTATTACAATTAAAATTTATTTATTATTCATTGATGATGGTGATGATAATGACAGAGGTATCTAACAATTTCATTACGGTAATTGCCCCATGTTCTTTCAACATAAATTAAAGAATTAGGATTATTTCCTTGTAAAAACCTATCTATTAAAGATTCAAAATAATCAAGACGCTCCATATCAGGATATATCTGTTAAAATTAAAAAAATATTTGAATATGATAATGAAAATATAAATACAAATATATACAAATATGAATATGTCATACATACATATTGAGAAGAATTAAGACGATTTATATATACGAGAATTTATGTTGTTCCTTGCTTGTGATCTATGATTGCGAGCTGTTATTGATCTTCTTCTATGCACCATCTAAATAATTATATATAAAAAAAGAGAAGGGTAGTTAGTCCATATACCCATATGACTAAGCAAAAATAATGTCTTAATTTTCATTCCCTTCTATTCTTTATTCATCATTAATAATCAGAAAATTTAAAGCCAACAGATTATTATTATCTATCATGTGTTAATAAATAAGTGAACCTAACTAAATAATCAAAGGTTTGCCAGTCCAAATAATTATTAGATAGGGTAATAAAACAAATCACAAATTATCAACCCTTGGAATAAATATTTCACAGAAACATCCTTGCTCAACTTATGCGGACTTCTCATATTTATGGTCTCAGAATGAAACTGCAGAAGGATAAACCTTCAGAAATATATAATAATACCCTGCAGATCATTGATAATAATATTAAGAAAATTAAAACTGTGGAAATCAATTATATTCATCTAATAAGCATGACGGCATATCCAGTGGACCCCTAGAAGTATATATATCCCGCATACTAATAGGTGGAACTGGAGCTAACCACACAGACCCATGACATATAAGAGTAATAATAAATGATTCCACAATGCATGCATTCCAACACTTGCCTTTTAGTGATAGTTGTTATGTTGTGAGGATAGTTTATTTATTATTATGAATGTATTTACAAAAAAAAAAAATTTTTAAACAAAGAAAAATTCATAAAATTATCCACCAATAAAACAATTTGTTAATTATCATCACAAAGTAAATTGCTTATTTATTTTATTATAAGTTAATTAACATTCACAGTTCCATATTGCTCTTTTTTTTTTTTTTTTTTTTTTTTTCTTCCTCACGTGAGGAAGCGAACACTCCTGCGGAGGGCCTGCAGAGAGCTTCGCCCTCTGCAGAACATCACAAAGGTATGATTGTTACATACTTTAAAAAACAGATTAATTATCTAATATAAACTTATTATCTTGATCTATATATTATATATATATATATACATAAAATCTATTTTTGACAATCTTCATAAAACACGTGACTGTAAAAATTTTATTGCATTTTTGATTGGGAATTTTTTCCCAAATCTGTCGCTGTGGCGCAGAAATTTGTAGGGACTAGGTGTCCTGCACCATATAATAAAACTATATAGAGTTTTTTTTTAATCTTGGATGGTCATTGAACTTACACATTTTAAAGTTTAGCCAAAATTTTTGATGTCTTTAGATGATCAGCACCATATAAAAAAGATTAACACCTAATCACATAAGCGAATTAGCTTGGAGATCACTAAAACAATAACTAAATCACATTTTATTATTTAAGAAAAGTTAAAAATGTCAATGGGTTACCAACAATTATTTCGTTAAATCTCCCTGACTAAGAGAGACTCCCATTGGATCTTTTCGATATTGAGTGCGTTTTTTTTGTTCAAGTGAGACCTGGTTAGTTTCATTTATGATTTGATTACAATGTATATTATGACAAGAATTTAAACCGCGACGATATTTTGAAGAAGTGTTTTCAAGTAAGCTAGTCACGGGTCGGCCTAGGATTCATCTAAACACGGAATTAAAACTCTTGCCACTCCGCCTCGGGGTATACTAAATACTCGTTCTTTTATTTTGATTGGTAAAAATATGACCCGCGGAATTGTCATTGGATCTTGACATAATGAACCTATATAAATTCCTCTCAATATAATGATTTTATATAAGCACTTTATATAAGCGTATAGTGGATAAACAAAGCTCTTCATGTAATGATGAAAATTATTTAAACGATTATCATTATATCAATGATTAAAAATCGCCTACATACTTTTTTCGGATTCATTATTATTATGGGAAAATTGCTTGTTAAAAACGAATTGATGTTTACGATATCCATTAAACCTTGGTATTTCTTCTCTTGAACCAGTAAGAATCCCAGACGTAGGGATGGGAAATTTCAAAATTTCATGCGCATCGTGCGCATTTCATGCAGTGCATTTTTAAGAAAAATCACTCAACAACTACTTTTAACATTTTTTAATGCATTTATTCATTATTAAAAATATATTATGAAAATTAAATGTTTACAGATAATTCATTTTCATCATCACTGTCAATATTACTATTATCAACATTATCAACATTGTCATCGCTATCATCATTATCTTCACCTACAATTGTAACTTTATTTATCTTTGGGGTTTTCAATTTATTGTTAAAATATATATAAACTAATTTAAAAACACGATCATTTGTCAACTTATTTCGCTTTTTATTATGTATATAAGAAAATGTAGACCAATTCCTTTCTGCTGCAGCCGATGAGATAGGAATAGAAAGAACTCTTACCCGCAACTTTTGTCAATTCAGGTGCCACAGCTCCAAAATCACCTTTCCGCTAGGTTAACAAGTCCACATTATTGATAGATATCTCCATTAGTTGTCAAATATACCACCGCGAGCTTTATCTTGTAAAATTTAATTTCTGGATTTTCTGTATGTTGATATTGCACGATTTGAAAAAAAAATCATGCACATTGCATTTTTTTTAATGCGCATGGAACATCTCTACTCAGATGCGATCACACTTTGTTAATTCATCACGCCCGTCAACTTGGTCAACGTCGTTGTCCTTTTCCTTTAGCATCACTAGTATTGTCACTAGAATAAATATTTATTTATTTTAATAAAAATTACTTATACAATTTACCTCTATTATTAGTACTATTGTAATTATTAAAAAGTTATTAGGAAACATTGAAATGTCAAAATCGTTTAATAAAGTGCAGTATTATAACTATCATCAGCTTTAATTCTTTTGATTTGGTAATGTCATCATCTAATGTTCTGCTGAAATTATACGACAATGGATATGATTTTTGATTTGACTGAGGAATATTATTATTATCAAAAGAATTGCTTGTTGTAGTAGAAATCATGGTTTCATTGCTTAAATCTTATTCAAGTCTGTAAATTTTAGAAGATCTTTCTAATTTTTGTATTACAATGTAATGTGATCATGATATTTGTCTAGACAAAAATAGTAATATGAAGCTAATTTACATTAGGTCTACCATGGAACCAAAGAATTACAGCACCATTAGAAGTATTTTGAAAAAGGAACAAGGTGAAAAAATTGCTCCTTACATTTTCAAAATAAATGATACTCAGACATTGGAAGCTTATCTAAGAAAAGAAAGGATTACTTATGAAATTTACCAAGAAAGAAAAATAATAAATGTTAGAAAAAGAAAGCAGAATGAAAGTGTGTTATTACAAACAAAAGACTGAAATCTCTGGGCAAAAAAAAACCTAATTCAAAATTACTATCCAATTTTATTTTTATTTTTTCAATAAAGCTTTTAAAATTAATACCAATTATAATGTTTCATTCTACTTAAAGATGGCTCTGCAACTAGGGAGGTTGCAACCATTGTATAAAAATCATGACCAAAAAAGAATGTTTTAATTATAAAAATACCAAAGAAGGTTTAACTATTAATTGATGAGATGAAGAAAATAAAGAAATCATTAAATTCTGCTGTTTGGAATGCTCTGAAAATTTGATACAACAAGAATTAGATGAAAAAACTGCTGACTGAGAAAGAAATAAAAAAATTATCTTTATAGAAACCTTAAAAAAGGTTAAAAATAAAGAAAATTTTGATTGGCCTTTTAGGAGAAGAATTATTATTCAAAAGGTGGTGGGAGGGAGATGAGATAGGATTACTATATGGTGTCCTCGATGTAAATCATGTTGGATTGAGATGTCACTGCTTATGAAGACAGCCGAGGACATAAATGTCATAATTGTCATAAACAGATTGAAAGAACACATGAAAAGGACAGGGTACAAGTGAAATTTGCAGATCCCTGACCCCGTCCTTTTCTAACGTCCCTAAATAATCAGTATGTATTTTGTCAATCAAAATAATATAATTTTTTTTCTTTATAAAAAAAATTTAAAAATGTCTGAGACACATAAAAGAAGAGGAAAGAATTTGTTGTTCCAAATATCAGAAATGAGTAAGTGTTTATCATAAGAATGGTGGTTATCACCACATGTCATCACACTAGTTATTTTTAAAAGAATAGATTCTAGCTAGTAATTAAAATTTGGCTGACTTGACTACTGTGAGATTGTAAACCGTGGACCAACCAATTTCCCATTAATATTGACCAATTGAAACAGACTTAGAATGGTAGTCATGTGATGCATTAAATATCATATCATGATCAATGATCATCTTTCTATATTTATTGTAATGGTTGCCCACATGACAGGATTGTTTTCAGGAAATTTGCAATTTTAATTATAAATAGATAAACATACTTGATTTGTATAAGCTTCATTTAAAAATGTCATGCAACTGTGATGACATTTCTGATATGGGGCATGCTTGCAATTATACATGAAGTCGAAACTATTTTGACCATTTGCAGATCTGGTTGAAATAGGATCAAAATAAGGTCAAAACTGATTTTTACTATGTAGTTGCCTCAAGTCAAAACATTTCGACTTTGGGGTTTTAATTTCGACTTCATGTATAGCTGCAACAAAACCAGACAAAGTGAACATTGGTATTACCAAAGATTTCAGGGATCAAAATTTAGTCATTTGTAATGTGATTATAATTAAAAGTTTTATAATATCCCATTGGTTATCTTAAGTGATATAGAACTACCCCTATATAAAATATAAATATGAAGCTAATTTACATTAGGTCTACTATGGAACCCAAGAATTATATGGTGCAAGTCACTTAGTCGCTGAACTTTTTATTGGCTGTGTAGATCCTATATCCTCTCCAAAAATGAAAATGTATGACCCAAAAAACAAATCATAGAATTAAAGCTAAGACCTTTCTCTACAATTCTATGATTTCATTTTGTTG